ACAGGGGGGCTTCCAAAAAAATTACAGTATTTAAGAACTGTCATCAGCTGTCAGTTGTCGGGAGTCCCCCGTCGATGGAGTGGAACAGTTTTCGCTGTTTTCTGTTTTTTCCGGATCAAGGTGGTGCGGTGGGGCATCGTGATTTATATTGGATTTACTTCGGGGGACATTTGTAAAAATTTTGTTTTTTAATAAAGGATTGTCAAAGATTGTCTCCTGTCATTCCCCATTTTTTACACTACACTTTTTTTTTTGGTGAATGAATAGTGGTACCATGTACTCCATTTTCATTCATATGGGGGGTGGACTTTGGGGGCCCCCATCGCCAAAGGGGGCTTCCAAACTCCGATAAAACCCCTGCTCACAGACCCCCACAACCAACCACAACAACCCCCCCCCCCTCCCAGAACACTAAACCCAAAAAAACTCCGCACTGCGCCCACACCACCTCACCCTCCCCCACCCCTCCCACACTCACACAACATGTGACAAACAAGGTGCTTTGGGGGTATCCCCCCTGCCCAAAGCACCCCCCCATGTTGAGGGCATGTGGCCTGGTATGGTTCAGGAGGAGAGGGGCGCTCACTCTCGTCCAACCTTTCTGACCTGCTAAGCTGCATGCTCAGATTAAGGGTCTGGTATGGATTTTAGGGGGGACCCCCATGACATTTTTAAAAAAATTGGGGCGTGGGGGGGTTCCCCTCAAAATCCATACCAGACCAGATGACTTGGAATGAATTGTTTGGGGGGATCCCATGTGCTTTTAGAAAAAAAAAATGAATTGCCAGGCAATGCCAACAATTATTTTTACATTCAGCTGTCAGCGGGGAACCCCACTGACAGCTGAAACATTAAAGAATGTATTTAGTAACTGTGTGATATCTTACCTCATACTCAGATGCCGTAAGATACCACTTAGTGAATTGTTCCCTCTCTTCGAAGTTCGCAGTCAAACTTTCATTTATGTTCAAATGTTTCGACCCGCAAACCGAAAGGGGGGTGTTCAGCCCATCACTACAAGCAATTTTGCTTCTTTCAACCAGTAGTTGCAGGAAATAAAATTGCATAATCTATGGCCTGCTTTAGCGGTTGTTGAATGTTCTCTCTGAAATGTTCAATGGGCGTGCTCAAAAAACACACGATATAAATTAGAATTAGTTTTGTGTGTTATCAGCTCAAGCAGATTGTGTTTTGTCTACTGCTGTGGACATTAAATGAGGATAGGATCCCATTTTATGGCAAATCACTTCAGAAAACCAGTTAATTCCAAAGGGTTCACATACTTTTTATTGCCACCAGTATCTTTCTGTGTTAGCTTCACATCAAAATATGCGTAGCCCCTGGTCCACAGCGACTATGGCTACTATCACTGGGACTGGGCTACTATTGCTTCTGATGACCTGCACCCCCTCTCAAGCTGTACAGGACTGTATACAGCCACAGAGAGAGCTGGAGGAAAGCCCTGCCCACCACCCAAGGATCACAGAGAAAGCTGGAGGAAAGCCCTGTACAGCACCCGGGATCACAGAGAGAGCTGGAGGAAAGCCCTGCCCACCACCCAAGGATCACAGAGAAAGCTGGAGGAAAGCCCTGTACACCACCCGGGATCACAGAGAGAGCTGGAGGAAAGCCCTGCCCACCACCCAAGGATCACAGAGAAAGCTGGAGGAAAGCCCTGTACACCACCCGGGATCACAGAGAGAGCTGGAGGAAAGCCCTGCCCACCACCTGGGATCACAAAGAGAGCTGGAGGAAAGCCCTGCCCACCACCCAGGATCACAAAAAGAGAGCTGGAGGAAAGCCCTGCCCGCCACCCGGATCACAGAGAGAGAGCTGGAGGAAAGCCCTGCCCACCACCCAGGATCACAGAGAGAGCTGGAGGAAAGCCCTGCCCAACACTGGGATCACAGAGAGAGCTGGAGGAAAGCCCTGCCCACCACCCGGGATCACAGAGAGAGCTGGAGGAAAGCCCTGCCCACCACCCGGGATCACAAAAAAAGAGAGCTAGAGGAAAGCCCTGCCCACCACCCGGGATCACAGAGAGAGCTGGAGGAAAGCCCTGCCCGCCATTCGGGATCACAGAGAGAGCTGGAGGAAAGCCCTATCTACCGTGTCCCACAATGCACTGCGCCCTGACAGTGCATGTGATTGGGCCAAAGCATAGCATATGACCACAGACCAGGTGCTATGCTTTGGCCAATCACAGGCAGGGCAGGATAACATCACAAGGACAGGGCAATCCCACCCCCTTGTGATATCATTACGCTAGTTAAGAACTCTCATCCCTGCGCAGCTGTCAGACAGCGGGAGCCAGCATCGAGGGCGGAGCTTGTTTTTATTTCTCTCTTTTTTTCGGGTAGCGGCGGCGGCGGCGGCGAGCATCGTGATTGACGTTGGATCTCTACTTTGGGGGACATTTTTTTCATAAAGATGGTCTGCCAATTTTTACACTATACTTTCTTTTTGTGAATTAGTAGCGGTACCATGTACCCCATATTCATTCACATGAGGGGGGGGCCGGGATACGGGGGACCCCTTGTGTTAAAGGGGGCTTCCAGATTCTGATAAGCCCCCCGCCCGCAGACCCCCACAACCACCAGCCACGGTAGTGGGGAAGAGGCCCTTGTCCTCACCGGCATGGGGACACATCCCAATGCCGAGGGTACGTGGCCTGTACTGTCTGTGATCTGCCTGTGACCTGCCTGTGCTCGGATCAAGGGTCTGGTAGGAATTTAGGGGGGACCCAAGGCTTCCCCCCCATTTTTTGGGGGGTTGGGTTCCACTTAAGTCCTACCAGGCCTAGAGGACTGTCATTTTTTTTTTAAATATCAGTCGTTCTGCAGCGGGTTCATACATTGTACAGATGTGCAACTTTGCAGAAAGTTTAAAGGGACCCCCCCCCAGGTATGATATTTAAAGGAATTTTGTTTTTACTTTAAGCAATGAAAAATGACTGCCCCTTTAAAAATGGTACTTTTTGAAAAATGTTTTCACTGATTAACCCCTCGCCTACCGGGCACTTATACCCCTTCCTGTTCAGGTCAATTCCCAGCTTTCAGCGCTGTCACACTTTGAATGACAATTGCGCGGTCATGCAACACTGTACCCTTATGACATTGTTATAAATTTTTTGTGACAGATAGAGCTTTATTTTGGTGGTATTTAATCACCTCGGGGTTTTTATTTTTTCTTAAACAAACCAAAAACCAGTGAAAATTTTGAAAAAAAAAGTTTTTTTTCTTAGTTTTTGTTATAAAATTGTAAATAAGTGATTTTTCACCTTCACTGATGTGCACTAATGAGGCTGCAGTGATGGACACTGATAGGTGGCACTGATGGGCACTGATGAGGATGGCACTGGTAGGTGGCACTGATGGGCATTGACAGCATCACACTGATGGGCACTGAAAGGCAACACACTTGTACATGGCACTGATAGGTGGCACTGATAGGCAGCATTGATAGGCAGCACTGACTGGCACTGATAGGCGGCACTGACTGGCACTGTTAGGTGGCACTGACTGGCACTGATAGGCGGCACTGACTGATGCGCACTGTTAGGTGGCACTGACTGGCACTGTTAGGCGCCACTGACTTGCACTGTTAGGCGGCACTGATTGGCATTGATAGGCGGCACTGATGGGTGACACTGAAAGGCAGCTCAGATGGGCACTGATATGTGACATTGATGTGGCACTGATGAGCACTGACAGGTGGCACTGCTGGGGCTACACTGATGATCAGTGTACATGTTTCTTCTCCGAGGAAAGCCGATTACCGGCTCTCCTCTCCTCTCTGTCAGCGTGACGGCTCGAGAGGAGAGAAATGCAGATAACCGGCATTTCCGTGTTTACATGTGATCAGCTGTGATTGGACACAGCTGATCACATGACCGAGCTGACATCTTCGGCTCTTTCCATAGATCGGTGATCCGCTGTGTCCCGAGGGACACAGCGCACCGCCGATCGCCGCGCTGCGCGCACTCCTGGAGCCGTGCATGCGCGGTGAGAATGGGACCACGTCATATGATGTCCTCCCAGAATGAGAGAACCACCTTGCGCCCGTCATATTACTATATGGCGGGCGGGAGGTGGTTAATGTCCCTCATGGCTGTCCCTGAGCCCCCAAACCCCTTTTATGGTCAATGATGTGCATATAAACCTTAAAAATGGACACTTTTGAACTTACAAGTTCGAGTCCCTTAGCATTGCATTATGTTCGATGTTCGAGGTAGAACTTTCTTTAGGTTCGAATGTTCTACCTCGAACCGGCCCATCACTAGTTATTATTATTATTATTATACAGGATTTATTATTATTATTATTATTATTATTATACAGGATTTATGGCGCCAACAGTTTTTGCTCAGCACTTTACAATATAACGGGAGACAATACAGCAACAATACAGTTCACTACAAGAGGGTTAGGAGGGCCCTGATCCTGGGAGCTTACAATCTAAGAGGGATAGTAGGCCCTGATCCTGGGAGCTTACAATCTAGGAGGGAGGGGCTAGTGGTACAAAAGGTAGTAACTGTGGGGGATGGACTGGTAGGAGGAGTAGAAAGATTTCAGTATTAGCTGGAGGGCAGGATAGGCTTTCCCTGAAGAGATCAGTTTTCAGACATCGCCTAAAAGTGTGAGCAGAGTAGGCGATAGTCTGATAAATTGGGGTAGAGAGTTCCAGAGGATGGGAGAAGCTCTGGAGAAGTCCTGGAGATGAGCAATGGGATGGAGGAGGAGACAAGGGAGCTAGAGAGCAGGAGGTCATGTGAGGAGCGGAGAGGATGGTTTGGTGATATTTGGAGACAAGATCGGTGATGTAATTTGGGGCAGAGTTATAAATGGCTTTATATGTTATTGTTAATGTTTTGAATTTTATTAGTTGGGCCAGGGGAAGTCAGTGGAGGGATTGGCAGAGAGTGGTGGAGGACACTGAGTGGAGGTCAGTGGAGGGATTGGCAGAGAGGGGTGGAGGACACTGAGTGGAGGTCAGTGGAGGGATTCAGAGTGGATGGAGGACACAGTGAGTGGGAGGTTTGACAGAGAGGGGATGGAGGACACTGAGTGGAGGATTAGTGGAGGGCTTGGCAGAGAGAGGGGTGGATGCGACACTGAGTGGACATGAGAGGGATTGGCCAGTGGAGGACACTGAGATGGAGGCCAGTGGAGGGATTTTAGAGAGGGGTGTAAGGAACACTGAGTGGAGGTCAGTGGAGGGATTGGCAGAGAGGGGTGGAGGACACTGAGTGGAGGTCAGTGGATGGAATTGGCAGAGAGGGGTGGAGGACACTGAGTGGAGGTCAGTGGAGGGGATTGGCAGAGAGGGGTGGAGACAATGAGTGCAAAGAGGATCGTGGAGGGGGCAGAGAGGGTCAGAGGACACTGAGTGGAGGCCAGTGGAGGGGATTTGGTAGAGAGGGGTGAAGGACACATTGAGTGGAGGTCAGTGGAGGGATTGGCAGAGAGGAGGTGGAGGCAGAGAGGTCAGTGGGTGGAGGAAGGGGTGTGGAGGACACTGAGTGGAGGTCAGTGGAGGGATTGGCAGAGAGAGCGGTGGAGGACACTGAATGGAGGTCAGTGGAGGGATTGGCAGAGAGGGGTGGAGGACACTGAGTGGAGGCCCAGTGGAGGGATTGGCAGAGAGGGGCGGGGGACCCTGAGTGGAGGCCAGTGGAGGGATTGGCAGAGAGGGGTGGAGGACAACTGAGTGGAGGCCAGTGGAGGATTGGCAGAGAGGGGCGGAGGACCCTGAGTGGAGGCCAGTGGAGGGATTGGTAGAAGGGGTGGAGGACACTGAGTGGAGGCCAGTGGAGGGATTTGGCAGAGATAACTGCAGGATTATTGTCAGCCTCCTGTTCCTGTGCGAGTTATCCTGCTGATTACCTGTTACCGACCGACTTGACCCTGATCTGCTCTTGCTTTCTCTCCTGGTTCACAAAGTCTTCTGTAGATATTGGTGGGTTTTAAGAAAAAGAGCAGACAGATGGCGCAGACAGAGTAGCTCTGATGAAAGGGACTCGTCCCGAAACATGTCAGCCATTTGACCGCACTGACAGTTGGAGCACCTTGCCAGTTGTTGCGGCCATCTCCATTATACAAAAGCTTTTTATACATGCTTTGTCTGTGAGTATGTTTTTGTCTTTTACTCTTTCTTGGATAATGCACTAGGTATTTGCACCACCTGTCTGCTCTTTTTCCAGTGGTTGATTTCCCCCGTCTGAGGAGGGCTGCATCCCTGAAGCATTACCTTTAGGCTATCCTGTCCTGGTTCCCTTGTCTCCCTCTGGCAATTTATTTCCTGGAGCGCTGGAGAACACACACACGGTCATCCCAGATTGGTGGGTTTTAGGCCTTCATTCACAAGAAACGTCATACCACACGCTGTTCCATGCATGCGCTTACACTGTTGTCTTCCAACTTGATTAACAGCTCTAGACTTGCCCGCGACACGTGCTCCACCTATCAGCAATAGGACACCCTTGCTGCATACTACTGCGTGTAGTACCGCCACACTAGCATCCCTTTTTATACTTGGTAAATGAAAAGTCCCAGTTTGACTTGAACGCTCCTTGTACACGCATACACTCCAGGATGAGGAGGTAAGGAATGATAACCCATCTTCACCAACATCAAGCATCTTCACCAACATCAAGCATCTTCACCAACATCAACCATCTTCACCAACATCAACTTTACCAACATCAACCATCTTCGCCAACCTCCACCATCTTCACCAACATCAAGCATCTTCACCAACATCAACCACCTTCACCAACATCCACCATCTTCACCAACAATCAAGCATCTTCACCAACATCAAGCATCTTCACCAACATCAACCATCTTCACCAACATCAATCATCTTCACCAACATCAACCATCTTCACCAACATCAAGCATCTTCACCAACATCAAGCATCTTCACCAACATCAAGCATCTTCATCAACAGCAATCATCTTCACCAACATCAACCATCTTCACCAACATCAACCATCTTCCCCAACATCAACCATCTTCATAAACCATCTTCATCAACATCAACCATCTTCATCAACATCAACCATCTTCACCAACATCAACCATCTTCATCAACCATCTTCATCAACATCAACCATCTTCGCCAACATCAACCATCTTCACCAACATCAACCTGTTCATGTAGGAAGCCAATAAAAAATTCTGCAATTGCTCTTCAGTATTCAAAAATACCTCAAAGAAGTTGTAAAACTGTCTGAATAACACTCAACAAGCAATCATTTCCCATGTTCATTGGGACGTTACAGGAAGTTTCAATTAACCAAAAGTGTTCTTCAAAGGAATCATTGAAGGAAGGTCCGGAAATATATCTACCATGACAAGAGTTGTCTCAAATAGTTTGTTTTTCCAAAAAAGAATTTCAAAAATATTGATGTTGGCTTGTTTACTAAAAGAAAAAAATTATGTTCCCTTGATCTTCATTCTTAACTCGTTTTCACACACACCCTCCCGTATTAATCAGCGGGTTGTGCTGTGGGTAAGTGCTCGGAGAAACGTGTCTTTTCCTCCATGTTCGGCATTGCCAGACAGATGGCTTATTGGAAAACACGGCAACCCACTAAAGCAATCGCTGCGAGTTCTCTCTCAGGAAGTTCAGCTGTTTGGTGTTCTGCTGTTTGATATTCGGATCACAGGCACTTGGATCGTTTTCTCAGATTGAAGAAAGTGAAGTTAGCGCCTCCGGCAAAAAACATCTGTTTAGTGGATTTGCCAGGAAATGGCCGAGTGTGAAGGAGTCCTGCTGTAAACCTCAACTCTAGAATAGGTCAGCGAGTCACCGAGCGATAACATCCTCTACAGCCGGCATTCACACAGTGTGCTGAGCATCAGATGGCTTGCAGAACAAATGTTTTGGTTTTTCTTGTTTTTGGCATGAAGATGCAGTTATCAGTGAAGGTGGCCACAATATTAGGTCAATATAACGATACTTTTCATAGTTTTTATTATTATTATTATACAGTATTTATGTAGCGCCAAAGGGTGTGCTCAGCGCTGTACAATAGCAGGGGGACAGAACATGAGACAAGACAGAAACAATACAATACACGAGGGTTCGAGGGCCCTGCTCTTTCGAGCTTACAATCTAGGAGGGAGGGGAAAGTGGTACAGGAGGAGATGGCTGTGGGGGATGGAGTGGTGGGAGGAGTGGTGGAGGTCAGTTGTTAGGTGAGGGTGGGGTAGGCTTCTCTGAAGAGGTGGGTTTTCAGGGTGCGCTGAAGGTGAGGAGGGTAGGTGACAGTCGGATGGATTGGGGTAGGGAGTTCCAGAGGATGGGGGAAGTCCTAAAGAAATCCTGCAATCGGGCGTGGGAGGAAGAGACCAGGGAGCTAGAGAGTAGGAGGTCCTGTGAGGAGCGGAGGGCACGGGGTAGGGTAGTATTTGGGTATCAGGTCAGTTATGTAGTTTGGGGCGGTTTGTGAATGGCTTTGTAGGTCAGAGTTAGCAGTTTGAATTTGATGCGCTGGGCAATCGGGAGCCAGTGAAGGGATTGGCAGAGGGGGGTGGCGAATGTGGAGCGCTTGGTGAGGTGGATGAGTCTAGCGCGCTGAGTTCAGGATAGACTGGATTGATATGGGGATAGCGTTCATTTGGGTAGGCCAGTGAGAAGGGAGTTGCAGTAGTCCAGGTGTGAGATGATGAGGGAGTTGCAGTAGTCCAGGCGTGAGATGATGAGGGAGTTGCAGTAGTCCAGCGTGAGATGATGAGGGAGTGTACGAGTTGTTTAGTAGTGTCTGGGGTGAGGAACGTACGTATCTTGGAGATGTTGCGGAGGAAGGAAAGGTTTAAGTCCAGGGTGACACCCAGGACTTTGGCATGTGGGGTGAGAGTGATGGTAGCGTTGTTAGTAGTGATGGAGAGGATGGGGGGGGGCGCAGGGGGGTGGAAGACCAGGAGCTCGGTTTTGGAAAGGTTTAATTTGAGGAAATGGAGGGACATCCAGTCTGATATGTCGTTCAGCAGGTGGGCGATACAGGCGGAGAGTGAGGGGGTGAGGTGGGGGGTGAGAGGTAAATTTGTGTGTCGTCGGCATAGAGGTGGTAATTGAAGCCGTGGAGTGTATTAGTTTGTCAAGGGAGGAGGTGTAAGATGGAGAAGAGGAGCGGTCCTAGGACCGAGCCTTGGGGGACCCTGACAGAGAGGGGGAGAGAGGGGGAGGTGGCAGTGTTATAGGTGACGCTGAAGGAGTGTTGGGACAGGTAGGAGGAGAACCAGGAGAGAGCAGCGTCCCTGCATGCCAAGGGAGTGCAGTTTAGTAAGGAGGAGAGGGTGGTCGACAGTGTCGAAGGCCCTCGGAGAGGTCAAGGAGCAGGAGGACAGAGTAATGGCCATTAGCTTTGGTGGTTAGCAGGTCGTTGGTGATTTTAAGTAGGGCGGTTTCGGTGGAGTGTAGGGGACGGAAGCCGGACTGTAGTGGATCAAGGAGGTTGTTATCAGTGAGGTGGGTGCTTAGCGATTGTAGGCCAGGCGCTCAAGGAGCTGGAAGTGAATGGTAGCAGGAGATGGATCTAAGGTTGTTCAGGTCAGTGGGGTCAAGGGAGGGGTTTTTTGAGTATGGGTGATGTGATGTGCACGTGCTTTAGAGGGAGAGGGAAAGTGCCCAGTGGACAGGGAGAGATTGAAAATTGTGGGTGACTGGGAGCGAATGATGGCTGGGGGGGGAGGGTGACTGGAGGAGCTGTGAGGGGATGGTTCCAGGGGGCAGGTGGTGAGGCGGGCTTCAGTGAAAGACCTTCACTCAGGGGTAGCTGGGCTGAAAGGAGCGGTAGCGTTGGGGAGGTGATAGTGTGCGTGGGCGTTAGGCATAGTGGGGAGTAGTGTGGCTATGAGGTTGGAGGAGGGGGAGGGTTGAGGGGTTGATGTAGGGGGGGGGCTAGGTGGAGAGGTAGATTGTGAGTTGACAATGTTCCTTAAGGATTGCGTCAATCTTGTTTTGGAAATGTATTGGCAATCTCGTGGGCGCGTGAGTGAGGTACTGAAGTGGAGGTGGGGGGGGGGAGAGAGCAGGGATTTGAAAAGTGGAGAAGAGCCTGAAGGCGAGGACAGGTGGACTGAGGGTGTTGATGAGGGTTATGAAATAGGCTTGCTTGGGCGGAGTGGAGGGAGGTGTAGGGAGGAAGCGGATTTGTAGAGGGACACAACGCTCGAGGCAAAAGGGATCTGGTTTTGGCACCATAATATCGCTCCCATTTGGCGCGCATGACTGCGTTCGATTGAGACATTTCGTGTGGTCGTTTCTGCCAGGGTTGAAGCGATTGGGTCTGGTGTGACGCGTGGTTAGGGGTGCCAGGGAGTCGGGGCAGCCGGACAGTGAGTTCGTTGTAACACAGTAGTGGCCAGTCAGGGCATAGGATTGCACTGCCTGGTATGGGTGCCACAAATTATGACAAAAGAATTATAACTTCAAATAAAAACCTTGCCATTGCCCCTTACTAAATACCTCAGACTGTCTACTTTCCAGAAAGGGGTTATTTGGTGGGATTTTTACTGTCCCCTGACATTTGAGGGGGGGGATTTGTTACATGTCCTGACATTTGGGGGGGATTATTTTTTCTGTCCTAGCATTTTTTGGGGGGATTTGTACTGTATTGACATTTGTGGGGGGGGGGATTTGTACTGTCCTGAACTTTGGGGTGGATTTGTACTGTCCTGACATTTGTGGGGGGGGGGGGGGTGATTTGTACTGTCCATGACATTTGGGGGGGTTATTTGTAACTAGTCCTGACACTTGG